CACAACAGCGTATATAACCTTCCGTCTCATCGACACTGGAGGTATTTACCACTGTCTTAGCCGAGCGTGGCTGAATGCTAAGCAGTAACAATTCTCTGCTTCAGGACCTCTGATTGATGTGTGCTTGCCTGTTTGTGTTAAGCTGTTGTCTGCAGAAATGACACGGCTGAAAAGCGCGGCGCCGATCGACGCGGCAAAAGGGAGGGAAACGGTCCTGACGTTGCGCGATGAAATGCTAACGAACTTTGAGGAGGAGAGACACCAAACTAAAGCCATATTCTATAAGGCCAGGAGCAGCGCCTGGACACTGGGCTTTCTCAAGGCTGAGCCCTGAAAATACACTTACACACACACACACACACACACACAGTATGTGAAGCTCACGTGCACATGTACACACACACTGTTGCAAATGCAAAACTCCCACACGCTTATTTAACAAATTCTGCGACAAAAAACAGCGAGGAGATTTTTCAAAAACAATAGATCCTCTCTTCGCGCCACTTGTGTGCCCACCTCTCTCCCTCTGGGACAACTTCGAACCTGTCCTACCATCCGCATCTCTCCCCCCACCCCGACTCCCCCGGCTGCCCAGACAGGCAGACGCTCCTTGTGATGGCACCCCGGCATGAGAGGACTGAGTCAAGCCTATCTGTCAGCGCCTCATCTGCCCCACACTCTTTATTCTTAGAGCAAACTGACGTCCGTGATTAGCCCCCCCGCTCCCCCCTTCCCCAACATTACCACCCCCGTTCCCCCCCCCCCCCCCTCCCCATTGCTCCTTATCAGGCTCTCATACCGGGGAAAATATACACTCCAACTCTTAAGTACAGGATGAGGGCTTCACATTAATACAGCACACACACACGACAGAAAAACTGCATAAACTCTGGTTTAAACAAATATTCAATAAAGCTGATCATTCATACTGCTACATCTGAATTGATAGCTTTGTATTCATTCCTGGATAATGGTATCTTCCTTATAACCCCTTTGCTTTTTATATTTTTGCAATACCTTAGTCATTCTCAATCTGCTACAGTCAGTTTGACTTTGGCCCTAATTTCTAACAAGAGCAACATGTTCAATGTACAGTTGAATAAGACACACAACTGGAAAATGATGAACAGGCTTCTTGGACATCAGCACCTCACGTAAAAGGATGATGAACTTATAGTCGTCTGCTCCCAAATTCATTTCACCGAAGGAGATCCTGAGACAGGCCTAGTGATGCCCAATGGTCAGAGGCACTAAGTTCAGAAAACTTTGAGGTCTTTGGTGCCACCACAGTGGAAACCAAAGTTAGAAAAAAAAAATGTTCTGATCTGAACATTTTCGATGACAAATGTTTTTAGATTTTTTAAAATGTCAACGTTTTGAGGTTTTCCGTCTAATGTGTGTAATCCACCGTGTGACGTTTTGTGGTCAGGACAATCTCGTCTTGAGTTCACATCCCTCGTTTGAGTCAATGCTTTTGATTGTGTGCGAGTGTGTGTGCGTGTGTGTGTGTGTGTGTGTGTGTGTGTGTGTGCCTGTCATATTAGCCTCACGCGGCGACTGCAACATCTTTGCCTGTCTGGCTTGAACTCTGGAGATCAAGGTTACGGAGCTACAAGGCTCAACCCAGACTAACGCCTGTGTGTTACAGCCCCTTTAACACCCTCCTTGCCCCCCACCCCTGCAGGACACACACACACACGCATAGACACACTGGAATACATGTACACCACACTGCCTTGCACTGTTGCCTGTGTAAGAGCAGATCAGAACCACAATGGAAATGAAGAAGTGACACCAGTATCCACAGCCTTCACACAGTAGGTAACAGAGACAGAGAGAGGAGGGGGGGTGCTTTCACAATCACTGCACATATCAATTAATGGCTGGCTGATGAGCAGAGCTGGCCTGATCTGGCCTGCCCACCACCGCCCTGATCCCAGCGGACTGGGAGCCCTGGCCTCGCAGCTTGTGCAGCTGGAGCCCTCTCCCCTATAATTACATGAGAAGGGGAGGATCAACCGGCCACAGTGAGGCTGTCTGCCTGCACCATGTTGGTGCGATTGGTACAGGAGAACTTGAATTATGTGTTGTCCGATTGATTACACACGCGCACATTTCCCGTACTGCGGGATTATGTAATTTATGCGACCACTTCGCTGCGGGTTTGTGTGCTTTCTGCGACGGGATGTCTGCTGGTGTGCCGCCCTCTTTATGCGCATTTGTTTAACGAGTGTGTGATTTTTTTTTTCATGCCGTTTTATTTTTCTTTCCTTTAAAAAAAAAAGAAAAAGAAAAAAAATCTGATTGTGTACATGTCAACGTGCAAATGATTCACCGGGGCGTTGGACTGACAACGCAGCGGCTTCAGTCGAGTGGGTCTCTTCTACGGCGAACCGAGTAGCTGACTGACTGACTGACAGCCTGGTGAAAAGAGGGCTGATTTGATGCCATCCTTTGCATGCCATGCCCCCCCCCACACACACACACACACACACACAGACAGCCTTGTCTCTCTCATTACTCCCTCCACCCTGGCTTTCAGCTGAGGGACGTGTATCGCTGCAGACTGACATGGGCACAGGTGGGAGAGAGCAACCAACACGAGATCACCCGGCAACGCGGCCGTGCAGACGGGCTCACCGGGAACAGATTTTGAGCTCTGCCGTGGGGAAAGTTGTGGCTCCAGAACGCATTAGAAATGTGCAGTGCATGCTGCGCCGCTTTCTGCTGCACTAAATCTCACTCCAGAACAAAAACATCCCATCCATAAACATTGTGAACTCGTCCGTTTGACTTGAAGCGAGGATAAATAATGCTTGCATATTTCATAAGAACAATTATTTTAATGACAACAACGCTGACAATTAATTGGATAATTCATTAGCGAGTCGTATGTAATATTAAAATGTAACCTGACTGGTAGATGAATGCAAGGAATCTGAAGTGGGACTAATGAATATTAAATAAATTGCCAAACCACGGAGGGCCTTGACAACAAATTCACTACAGAAATTCCTCCAACAGGCCAGTCTGCAAAATCGAGGCCTTTTTCTGAATATTTAAAAAAAAAAACACAGCGTGTCTTTCCCAAATATTTTCACCCGAGAAGCATGACAACATTTCCACTTGTAGCGGCGGGGAGAGAGGTCCAGCAGAAGGGCAAACGGGTCTGTGAGGAGGAGCGGGGGGACAGCTATCCATTTGCTATTGCATCTCCAATGAGGGAATGAAAGGAGCTGACAAAACGGGTTTACGCCCAGACACTATTTCAGACATAATATCCGCCCTGTGCATACCATTAAACAATGACAGCATCTCAACTCGCACACTACATCTATTTATCCCCTTTCCTTGCACAATGAATATGAGGAAGAGGCAATATTTTTTTATTTTTGTCCCTTTGGCTGGAGACAACTTTAGGGGAAGGTTAGAGAGAAACAGTGGGAAACAATGCGATAGACATTGTTGGGTATTTTAAGAAGGATGACATGTGCCTTTCGCAGCCATTGTGCAGGCGCTGGTTGGAAGTGGCTGGATAACCCAGGTCAGATCACTCAGGGGTCAACTTCACTTCCGAGGAAGAAAAAAAAAAAAACGTCCTCCCCACCCAAGACGCACGGTGAGGCAGAGGATTATAGATGGGATTACAAGCCCTATCCCTGGTGCCACATATTACTGATAATTCAATACTACCC